GAAAGGAACATTCTCTGTGCAAGAAGGTATAGTAGGTGGCTCCAAAAAGAAAAAAAAGAAAGGAAAAAATCAGGATACAATCAATATTCTCTCTTGCTTTTTTAGGGTATTTGATAAAGAAGCAAGAAAAACATTAAATTTCTTGAAGGCATCCACAAACGTTTCAAAGATTGGGCACTATCACCAAATTTTGTATGATAATGTGAACATTAAAATAAATAATGAAAGGTTGTTGATTTCTATTGAGTTGTAATTTTCTTGTTTGGTTTCAGGCAAGAGGAGAAGTTGATAATCACATTTATCTTTAGCCTTTAAAAAAAGAATGTTGATATTTGAACAAATGTTGTGTCATATGGATATCACTGGTCAGAAATATTATATTATTCCTTGAAAATGAAGTAATTGATTTTGTTGTGGTTTTCATGCTCCTACAGCTGCGGAAACAGATACATGCTAATAATTTTTTTTCAGATGCATCCCACTGTGACAAGTGTCCAGATGACCATTATTCCAATAAGAACCGAGATCAGTGTGTCCCCAAAAGTATAAGCTTCTTATCCTATGAAGAATTGTTGGGATTCATCCTGGCTTTCTTTGCCATTGTTTTGTCCCTGATCACTGCCTTTATTCTGGGAACCTTCATTAAATACCGAGAAACTCCCATAGTCAAAGCCAACAACTGTCAACTCACCTACATCCTCCTGGTTTCACTCCTGCTTTCTTTCTTGACCTCTCTTCTATTCATTGGTCGTCCCATAAAAATGACTTGTTTTCTTCGACAAACCATTTTCAGTATTGTTTTCTCAGTTGCTGTATCTTCTGTGCTGGCCAAGACGGTAATGGTTGTGGTGGCCTTTCTGGCCATAAAGCCAGGCAGCAGCATGAGGAAATGGCTGGGGAAGAGTCTGGCCAACTCTATTGTCTTATCCTGCTCTGGTATTCAAGTAGGCATCTGTATGATATGGCTGGGAATTTTCCCCCCATTCCCAGATTCTGACTTTCATTCCCAACCAGGACATATCTTGTTGCAGTGCAATGAAGGCTCGGTTGCCATGTTCTACAGTGCCCTTGGCTACATGGGTTTTCTGGCTGCCATTTGCTTCTTGGTGGCATTTCTGGCTCGAAAGCTTCCAGGGAGTTTCAATGAAGCCAAACTGATCACCTTCAGCATGTTGGTTTTTTGTAGTGTATGGATCTCCTTTGTACCCACCTACTTGAGCTCCAAAGGGAAATACATGGTAGCCGTGCAGATCTTCTCCATC